AGACCATTTTCTTAGAAAAAAGGTGATTGTGATCTTAACCCCTTTCGTATGCTAATGCCATCCCCCTGCCTGCTGGAAATGTATAAAATAAACCTCTGCTAAAGGCAGAGCAGGAAGATTTGCACCCAACTCCGACTCCTGAGTCTTCCTCACTCCCACTCCTCTCCCCATCTTGGAATCTCTGCACGCCCATCTTAGGGTCCTGCCTGTGTTGCCTCCAGACACCTCAAAAGTTGGAGCTGGTCTCCGACAGCCCGGGGTCAGGGTCAGCCCGGTGCTGGGAGGCTGCCCAGCCACTGCCGTCCGGCCATCCCGGCCGGGCGTGACCCCAGACGCGCGTTCCAGGGGCTCTGCCTGTGCTGCTCCCCGCTCTCCGGGGCTCCTCTCACCCACACCTCAGGCCTGCACCCAGCTCTTGTGTGTGTAAACAAGCACCACTAAAGGGAAAAACAACGCGGCTTCGAGGGGACAGGCCTGCGCCGCCAAGGCCGGCCAAGAGGGGACGCAGCTCCTGCGCAGCTCCTGCAGTCCAGGCCGCGGGACACAACACCGCGCGAGGCCGCCCAGGAGACCCAGGAGGAACCGGGCGGGCCAGAGGGGCGGGCGCGGCCAGGGCCTGGGGACAGTGTTCGGCCACTCAGTGCCTGGGTGGGAGAGAAGCTCCCGCCGCCCGCCTGGGAGCACCAAGGGCCACCGCGCGGTGCCAGGCCAGCCGCCACGGCAGCAGCCCTGAGCCTCACATGTGAGGCTGCGCTGGCCATGCCAGCCCACGGCGATGCAGACGCGGCACCCGCTGCCTGCCACCCAGCTTCCAGCCGCCCCACTTCCGGCCACCCCTCCCGCTTCGTGGCAGTCCAGCGCAGCTGGTGCCCTGCCCTTCCCACAGCGCCCACTGGTGCCAGATGGACTCCCGCCGCCGACCACCACTCCGCCGAGCCCCGAGCGCTCAGCACCCTCAGGCCGCCCGCCGAGGACCCGTCTGCTTGGGGCACCTCCTGCGGATCCCGTGGTCACCTGGGAACACTGCCGTTCATGGCGTGGTCGCTGGGTGCCAGTCACCTCAGCAGCCCCACAGACAGGCCAGACTCTGAAGGGTCAGTGGCCAGTCCCTCCCTCGCTGTCGCGCTGACCCTGGCAGATGCGGGAGACCTCGCCCTGGCCACTCGCCCACCCACCAATCCCAGCCACCTGTAGTGCAGGACAAACCGACAGGAGTAGCACGATGGTCAGGTAGAGCTTGAACTTCTCGTACTCGTCCTTGTAGGCGAATCTTGAAGCACAGGCCGGAGGGGCTGCCCTGCAGCTGGGCCATGGCCTCCGCCCAGGCTGGGGCTCCGGAGGGAGCTGTGGTGGCCAGTGGTGCTGGAGGGTCGGGCCGAGCGCCGCAGCCTGCGCCCTGGAAGCCTGGCTGCAGCGCCTGGACCGCAGGGGAGGCCGCGATCCCCGGCCGGTGACCACCCCAGAGCCCGCGAGGAAAGCGCGCTCGGGGCTCATGGCCGAGGCTTGGCGCCAGCCGGGCCCCAATGTGCTTCAGGGGAAACTGGACTGGCCGCACTCACTGGCCTAGTTGCTGAGCAGGGCCACGTTCCCACTGCCGAGCACCAGGGTCAAGTAGAGCCTGGAGGAGAGCGGGCAGGCATCACGGCGGCCCGGCCGGGCCAGGCAGGCCCTGGGCAGAGGGCCCGCCAGACTGGCCCTCGGCCTTGCCGGCGTGCTGCACTGCTCAGGTGTGGCCAGGGCCGGCACTCGAGTGAGCACAGCAGGGTCCCGGGTCATGCAGCCCTGCGGCCAACACTCAAGGGCCAAAGCCCCTTCCGGAGTCGAGGCGCCGCCAGTCCTGGACGTTTCGTGGGAGTGGCCCAGGCAGAGAGGGGGTCTGTCCGGCCCTGGCGCCACTGGGGAACGCGGCTCCCTGGGCCCAGGGCCTGCACTGACCCCCGGGGATAGCCCCTCGCCCCCGCCCAGCCTTCCAGAGACACGTGCCCCGGTGCCGGCCACGGCCAAGAGAACAGCGCCCCAAGGCTGACCACACAAAGCGGGGCGCCCAAGCCTCTGACCCCGCCCGCCTCCCTGGCGTGCTGGCTGTCTCGAGGAGAACCCCCTCTTCTCAGCACGGGCTCTGCAGGCCCGCCCCAGCGGAGGGGCTCGGCGGGCCGCCCGGAGGCGTGTGCCAGCAAGCCAAGGGCCAAGCGCCCCCTCTGACTGCACGGACCCCGGCCCCGGGGCGTCCGGTCAGCGCCTGGCTCCCCAGGGCCAGCCTCAGGCCGCTACTGGCCCTCCCGGCAGTCCGCCCCCCGCGCCAGGCGGCCCGGCCTACCCGTTCCTCTTGGGCAAGTAGGCCTCCATGTCGAACAGGGCCTGCTGCTGCTCCTTGACGCTGGCGCCCATCTGCTGGACGAGCTCCACCTCCTTGTGGTCGGCCCAGCACCCACACCTGGCGCGGGGGACACAGGCTGCAGGTTGCCCCAGCAGGACGCTGCCGGTCGGGCCTCCCAGGGAGCCCGGAGAGGCCCTGGCCGGGTCAGGGGCCGCCCTCTGCCCCGAGGGACCGAGTTTCTTTAACAAGCTTTGTCTTTTTATTTATTTATTTTCCATAGAAGGGGTGTGGGGGAGCAGGACAGGCGGTCTACCTCCGAAACCCACTGCGGACCGACGGGGGGGGGGGGGGGGGCGGCCGGGCCCTGGGGTCACTGCCTGGCCGGGGATGGGCGTGGGCTGCGGCAGTGCCGGCCTGAGACCGGCCCTGGCCATGGGAAGGTGGAGGGTGCACAGGCCTCCAGGCACAGCTGTCAACCAGCCAAGGCCTGGGGCGGCCCTGAGCTTAGTGGACAGCCACAGGCTCGTTCCTGGGGTGTCGGGGTGCTCCTGAGCCACCTTCCACCCCAGGCAGCATCTGGACACCGGCCAGCACAGCAGGCGGAGGCCTGGTCCTGAGTGGGCAGGGGCCAGAGGGGCCACGGACAACCCCGCTGTACCCTGCGCAGTCTAGAAGTGCCCCAGGACCCCAATGAAGGAGCCTGGTGTCCGCAGGGCGCGGGCCCCTGCAGCTCGCTCAGGATGGCCAGGCAGGTGGGGGCCGGCAACCTCCCAGCGGGCAACCTCCTAAGCCCCGCCCCCTCGCCCCGGGTCCGCCCCACCCGGACCCCACCTCCCTTCAGCCCCGCCCCCATCACCGGGCCCCGCCCCTGACCCCCGAGTCCGGCCTCCACCCCCTTGTTCCCGGGCCCGAGCCCCACCCCTCATTTGCCAGGCCATACCCCCTGGTCCCAAGTCCCGCCTCCTGGGCTCCACCCCCTTGTTCCGAGGCCCTCCTCCCGGGGCCCAAGTCCCGCCCCTGAGCGCAGGCCCCGCCTCTCATCGCCAGGCCCCGCCCCACCGCGCACCTGCTCAGCTAGCGCCTCATGCCCTGCAGCCGGCTCCTGTGCCTGCGGACCGAGATGCCGCACAGGGTCTGCAGTGCCATCAGCTCCTCCAGCCTTCGCGGTAGAGGCGGTGCGTCTCCTGCGGGCGGGCAGGGTTCGCTGCGTCAGGCAGGGGCCGTCACGCTGCGCAGCGCAGACCCCCACTCCGCTGCCCAGGGTGGAGGCACCCGCGCTGCGCGGGGAGCCGCTCGGCGGCCAGGCCAGGCGCGCCCTGGGCCGGATCAGAGCTCGCGGGCCTTGCGGGCAGGCCCCCGCCCGGTCCGCAGAGTCTGAGAGTGGAGGTGTGAGCTGCCCCCCTCTGATGATTCTGTCCGGGAGGGCGCGAGGGTCGCCGACCGGCGGGCGGCCGGGTCCACCACGCGCAGCACGGGCTTGGGCACCTCCCCTCAATCCCCTGGCCAGTTCACTCTGGCAGTGAAGCCAGTAGCCCAGGTCGGGATGAAGCACGCGCCACACCCCTGAAGCCCGCCTGCCCCCCATCCCTCAAGCCCACCTGCCTGGCACAGCCACTGCTCAGCTGCCCCGTCAGGGAGCGTGCCAGGACCAACTGGCCAGCAGGGGACAGCCGCCTCCTCACCCCAGGGACCCGGGCAGGGAGCAGCAACCGAGGACAGTAAAGATGCGGAAACCCAGACACAGGGTATGAGCCCTGAAGTCAAACCCCAGAACCCTAGGAACTTTCCCTGCGGGGCCTCCCGGGGGGGCGCGGCAGGTGGGAGCTGCGCTGCGGAGCTCAGTGCCCGCAGGAGGTGGCCCCGGGAGCAGAGCTGCTGCCCCTCAGCAGTGTTCTCTGTCCATCCACTCCGACCCTGGGGAGCCCTCTCACCCCCACCTCTGGCCTGCACCCCAGTTCTGTTGCATAAGTAAATAAATATTTAAATAAAAAGAAAGCTCTGGATCACACACACTGCGAGCTGGGGTCACCCTCCCCCAGGCATGCAGGCACTCAGGGTCCTGCTGCGGCTGCCGCCCGTCTGCCGGGGACGGATCAAAACCAGGCACATGGCTGCCCGGACCCCAACGGCCACGGATGCCTGCAGCCCCCCACCTGGTGGCCTCGGCACCCGTGGCCCCCACCCCACGGACACGCGCCCCATGGCCACAGGTGCTCACAGCCTGGCTGCCAGAGAACACGGAGCCGCCTCTGTGGGAGACACACACGTGTCTGGTCTCCTCTAAGGGCCCCTCAGCAGGACCCCCATGGCGCAGGCAGGAAGGGCCACGGGCGCTGCTGGCCAGGCAGGCCGTGTGCTGGGATCCGCAGGCGCCAGAGCCCCATGCAGGGGCAGCACTGGGCCAGTGGCTGCCGGGGGCCTACGGCACCCCACCCCGCCCGGCTCACCGGCTGGCCAGGCACTGCCGCACGGGGCTTCCCACACCAGGCCCAGCCCAGGCGCGGCCAGAGCGACAGGGCAGTCACCCCGGCCGATGGTCACGAGCCCGAAGCCATGCTCGGGCGGGCGGGCGGGGCCACACAGCCTGTCCTGGCCCTGAGGACGAGCCCACCTTCTGCACACTGGTGTCCGGTCCCCTTTGGGACCACCACCTGGTGATGACTCCCTGCAGTGACACTGGCCTGGGGCCTGTGGTGGCCGAGGCTGCGTGAACCCACGGCCTCACTGCCTGCCTGGCCTGCCCAAGGCCCAGAGTGTTAGCACCCTGGCCCTGGGCCCGCCCGGTCACGCGAGCCCACCAGCCTGGCGCTGCAGGTCACAGCCACCGCGTGCATGCCCTGGCCCAGCTCCCGCCTGCCGCCTCGAGGCTGCTGCTGCCCAGGGCGGCTCTCCAGGTGCCCACAGCCCTCAGCGCTGTGACCCTGCAGCCAGAGGCCGAGGCAGAGACCCCTGGGCGGGGAGCCCCAGGGTAAGGGTCCGGGGCTCTGGCCTCTCCCCACCAGCAGCTCGAGGACCAGCCCGCGCCTGCCCAGCCACAGAGAGCCAGCACCCTGGGGCTGGGCAGTAGAGCGGGTGAGGATGCACTTCTGGCGGGACACATGGCACCTCCACGGGAACCCCGAGCCTGCAGTGGGCAGCAGGGACCTGCCGCCCACTCCACAACACGCCACGTGACTCGCAGCCTGGGCCCTGCGGCAGGCAGTCCACGGCTAGGTGGGCAGGTGGCACCATCGGCAAGTCCAGCCTAACTGCCCGGGCCAGGCTCCGCCCCACGTTCCCGCTGGTGGCCCTGCTCCCTGCTGTCTGGGGCCTGCAGCTGTCCAGCCAGCGCCGCCCGACCCAGCGGCCGCCACCAAAACCTGCGGCCAGTGTGGCCCCAGACAGGGCCACTGAGTGTCCCTGCTCCTGGGGAAGAGCGCAGGCCAGGCTCGCCACCACCCTGGCGTGCCCCGGGCACAATGTCCAGGCCTGCCGCTCCTGCACCCGCGCTGCAGCGAGACCCAGGAACGCGGCCACAGCCCGTCCAGGCTGCCCGCCCATCCAGGCTGCCCGCCCACCGAGTGCAACCCCGGGCGCCAGGGTCCTGCCGCTGGACACAGGACCAGGAGCTGGCAAAACCGTCCCTTGACTTCGCTGGACATGACCTGGAGCCCAGTGGGTCAAAGTGCTGAGAAGTCGCCCCAGTCTTCGTCTTCCCCGTGGGAGCGGGGCCAGAAGGGCCGCGGGACAGTCCAAGCCCTGACTGGCGAGATACCCACCACACATCTGCGCTGGTCCGGGGATGCCTTCCCGCCTCCACTCACCCAGCAGCTCCCCTCCCGCTCCTCAGTCCCTCCCTATTCCCCCTGCACCAAGGCCCTGGCAGGTTCCCTGCAAGGCCAGCCCCCTCACACCGGGCACCCCCCCCTGCAGCCAGGGGCTGGACCTTGTGCCCCGGCAAAGGGCCGCATGGTGCGTCTGCCCAGGAAGCAGCCGAGCCCCGTGGTGCCGACAAGCCCCGTGGGGGGGCCAACGCGAGCCCAGGCTCCCTAGCACGGCTCAAGCACACGGCTGAGGCCAAGCCGCGGAGCGCGAAGGCCCGCCCGCG